AGGGCTGAGATTCAGCTGAAGCAGGTATGAGAAGCAATCATTTTCTTTCCTGGCCGTCTGTCCTCGCTTCCCGCATCCCCCTTCTCGTCCTGATCTTCCCCCCCCTCCCCCACGAAATGCCCCCCCCTTACCGTACCGAGACTATCCGCACTACATCGCACCGCACGCACGTATACAACATGGACGATACGCCCACCCATCTGCCACCCGCTTCGCATCGCTCTCGATCCGGAGCTCGCTCTAGACGACCGGTGCCGGGTCCTGCGTGGAGGGGGAGGGGTGGGGGGGATGATGGCGCACATCGCGCCTCTTGTTATTGTTGTTGGATTCGCCTGCTGACACATGTTCTTGTGGCATCTAGATCGAAGAGCACCCGGGGTTCATGGACGTTCTCCTCGATGTCCTCCAGAACGAGCAAGACAACAGTGTGCGACTATCAAGTACGTAGACGACTCTCTCCGAACACTCCTACCCTTGCCGTCGTACATGTCCTCTCGGCCAAGAAGACGTACTAAACGATCACTCCTCTTTCTAGCCGTTATCTATATCAAGAACCGCGTAAATCGGGGATGGGAAAAGTCGGAGCACAGCCCGAACGAGACACAGATTGCCGAAGATGAAAAGGCACGCTTCCGCGATCGCCTGCTGCCCATCATGGCCGCCTCCCAGGGGCTGGTCCGGCAGCAGTTGATCCCCGTCCTCCAGCGCATCCTGCACTTCGACTTCCCCGAGAAGTGGCCCAACTTCATGGACTACACCATGCAGCTCCTGAACACGAACGATGCTGCCTCCGTCCTGGCTGGTCTGCAGTGCCTTCTCGCCATCTGCCGCGCCTACCGATTCAAGTCTTCGGACGGCGACAACAGGGTTCACTTTGACAAGATTATCGAGGCCAGCTTCCCTAGACTGTTGGCTATCTGCAACGAGCTCGTTGCTCAGGAGAGCGATGAGGCCGGCGAGATGCTTCACCTGGCCCTCAAGGCCTACAAGCACGCGACCTGGGTATGTACAGAAATCCGTGCTGCGCCTGCTTTGGTACCATTGACTGACGGTGTCCTAGCTCGAGCTTTCCGCCTTCCTCCGCGCACAACAGACCAACTTTGGCTGGTGCACTGTTTTCCTCCAGACCGTTTCCAAGACGACGCCTGCCAGCGCCATGGCCGACGACTCATACGAGCGTGAGAAGCACCATTGGTGGAAGGCCAAGAAGTGGGCGTACTTCAACCTGAACAGACTTTTTATCAGGTAGGAAGGCTCAAGGACTCCGTGACGCCGCGAGGGTTGGCTAACACTGGACCAGACACGGCAACCCCCAATCCATCACCAACACGAAGGACGAGGATGCGGTCCGTTTCGCCAAGGAGTTCTCCGCCACGATTGCGCCCGAGATCCTCAAGCATTACTTGGCCGAGATTGAGAAGTGGGTTGCGAAGACGGCCTGGCTCAGCAGGCCCTGCTTGTCCTACACGCTTGTCTTCCTCGACGAGTCGGTGCGCCCCAAGGAGATGTGGAACCACCTCAAGCCTCACCTGCAGAACCTGGTGACGCATTTCGTTTTCCCCGTCCTCTGTCTGTCCGAGGAGGACATTGAGAAGTTCGAGGACGAGCCGGATGAATACCTCCACAGGAAACTCAACTTTTACGAGGAGGCCTCGGCCCCCGACGTTGCTGCCACCAACTTCCTCGTCGGCCTGACTAAGAACCGGAGAAAGCAGACCTTTGAGATCCTCAAGTTCGTCAACGCGGTCGTCAACGAGTACGAGCAGGCGCCGGATGATAAGAAGAACCACATCGCCAAGGAAGGCGCTTTGAGAATGATTGGTACCCTGGCTCCGGTTATCCTGGGCAAGAAGAGCCCCATCGCCGATCAGGTCGAGTACTTCCTCGTCCGCTACGTTTTCCCCGACTTCACGAGCCCCCAGGGCTACCTGCGTGCGCGTGCTTGCGACACCATCGAGAAGTTCGAGCAGCTCAACTTCCAGGACCAGAACAACCTCCTCACCATCTACCGCCACATTCTCGACTGCATGGCAGACCCGGCCCTGCCTGTCCGTGTGACGGCAGCCCTCGCCCTGCAGCCCCTTATCAGACACGACATCATCCGTACCAGCATGCAGCAGAGCATCCCTACCATTATGCAGCAGCTCCTCAAGCTCGCCAACGAGGCCGACATTGACGCCCTCGCCAACGTCATGGAGGATTTCGTCGAGGTGTTCGCTACCGAGCTGACGCCGTTTGCGGTTGCTCTCAGCGAGCAGTTGAGAGACACCTACCTCCGTATTGTCCGTGAGGTGCTGGACAAGAACAAGGACAACGGTGACGACGAGTTTGGAGACTACCTTGACGAGAAGAGTATCACTGCTCTCGGTGTCCTTCAGACCATCGGCACCCTCATCCTCACCCTTGAGAGCACTCCTGACGTTCTTCTGCACATCGAGGCTGTTCTCATGCCTGTTATCCAGGTCACCCTCGAGAACAAGCTGTACGATCTGTACAACGAAGTATTTGAGATCATTGACAGCTGCACGTTTGCTGCCAAGGGCATCTCACCCACCATGTGGCAGGCTTTCGAGCTCATCCACGCTACGTTCAAGGCTGGTGCTGAGCTCTACCTGGAGGACATGCTGCCGGCTTTGGACAACTTCGTTCAGTACGGTGCCGGCCAGCTGGTGCAGAAGCCCGAGTACATTGAAGCTCTCTTCTCCATGATCTCCGACATGTTCAACGACAACAAGGTCGGTGGTGTTGACCGTATCTGCGCCTGCAAGCTGGCCGAGGCCATGATGCTGAACCTCCGTGGTCACATCGACAACTATGTGTTGCGATTCATCGAGTTCGCCATGAACGTTCTCACCGCACAGGATGTCAAGGTCAAGGCTTACAAGATCCACCTCATGGAGCTCGTCATCAACTCGATCCACTACAACCCTGTCCTCACCCTCCACATCCTTGAGACCAAGGGCTGGACGAACAGGTTCTTCAGCTTGTGGTTTGGCAGCATGTCCAACTTCACCAGGGTCCATGACAAGAAGCTTTGCATCGTCGCCATCGCGGCTCTGCTTAGCCTCAAGGCTGATCAGGTTCCTCAGAGCATTGCCGTCGGCTGGCCCCGCCTGCTGCAGGGCGTTACAGAGCTGTTCAAGACTCTGCCCGCTGCCATGAAGAACCGTGAGGAGGCTCTCCGTGACGACTACCACCTCGAGGCCGGCACCTACGACTACGGCGAAGAGGACGAGTGGGCCGAGGACGAGGCCAACTGGAACGTTGAGGATGAGGCCGAGGAGGAGGAGACCAACGAGGGTCGCGACGAGAGCACCGCCTACCTGGAGTTCTTGAACGAGGAGGTGAGTACCTACCCAGCTAGCCTCTTCCTGCCAACGTGACTAACGCTCAAACAGGCCCAAAAGTTCAGCCGCGGTGTCGAGGATATCGAGTCGGAAGACGACCTTGGCGAGGACAGCGTTCTGCTCGAGTCCCCTCTGGACAAGGTGGACCCCTACCAGCTGTTCAGTGCGACTCTGATGAGTAAGTGGTTTCCGTTCGACTTGGCATGGAACCATGGCTAATACCCGAACAGAGATGGAAGAGGAGCAGCCCCAATTCTATCAGTCCCTGGCCTCTCACCTGACCGCTGAGGACCAGGCTGCCCTGCAGGGTGTCATGCAAAAGGCGACCGAAAACGCCCAGGCTGCCCAGCTGGCCCTTGCCCAACAAGGAGCTGCACCTGTCAACGGCGGTGCCAGCTAAAAGGCCTACGGGAGATGTCATCGATGACCGAGCCGGGCCCCTCGAGGAGCTGTGAGGATTGTGCCAGAATGTAGTGTTCTCTAGCCGTCCCAGCTCTCAAGCATAAGAGGGAGACGCGAGATGATCCGAAGGAGCCACCGCCGCAATGCACGCTGGTGGACAAGGCTCGAAGCTGCCAAAAGCTGTTGTGGATGAGCGGCTGCAGGAGAAAGACTGACGAGGCAAAGAATTACGATTACCCCCATCCCTAAAGAGTATAAGAGGTCCAAAAGGAAAAAGATCTTTAAGAGCATTAGAGCGTGCAAACGACAGCCGGAGGCCAGCTGGATATGAGAGGAGCTAGGATAAGACCGGGTGGTGGTTCCCAAGCACGGCTTCCAATCCGTCGTGGTCGTTGTCGTCAGTTGCAGGGGCGGCAAGGGGAGGAAGACGGGAGTTGTTGTTTGGTTTTCCAGTGTGGCGCCATGGAGGATGTTTCGCTTGTCGTCGTCGCCATGGCCGTCTTTTCACTGGCGGCAAGGCATAGCATCGTACGGGAGGCCCGCGTGTATGTGGAGGTAAAGTTCATGATGCCCCGAAGTCGTAGGTAGTTAAATTCCCCCAAACCCTTTGAAGAATTCAAATCAGTTCAACATGAGTTCGAGACTTTGCTTTGTGATGGTCATCGCGGTCTCTCTTTCCTATCGTTGTTTTTGTGTCCATCGGCTTTCACTTGTTCTCCTTCTGGGGACCTGGCTGTTGTTGATGACGGTGATTGGTGAAGGTGAGAGGAAACAATGATGATAGGAGGAGAAAATGAGTGGAGAGAAGGCCCGAGAGCTGCTGTACAGCTCTTGTTCTTGTCAACCCCGAGAGCTGGCTGGGGAGGAGCATCATGTTTACGTGGAGTCTGCCAGCTGGCTGAGAGAAGTTACTACCTGATGTTGAGTGGCGTAATCCGAGGAAGCAATCCGTGAAGGCGCACGGTGTTCACGCCTTCCCTCTTCCTCCTCTTGCCTACCTAGTCCCTGATATTTCCTTGGAAGAAAAAAAAGGCTAGGTATTCACCTCGACTTTCTTCGACTGTACTTTCCTTCTCCTCGCTTTGTCCTTGCGTGCCTCCTTCTTTCTCGCCTTCTTCCCCTCTCAACCACACTCTTCTCACCCTCTCCTCCACCTTACCATTTTGCTGAACCTCAAGCCCTCGTCGAGCTCCTTGTCAAGAAGCACCACCTTCAACGTCTATTCCCTGCCTTGAGAGGAGTGCAGTGACGATGGCCTCGAGACCGGGCCTTACTTCCGGGATCACAGAGGTTGCGCAGACCAAATCTGATCGGGCTCTGGCTACTTGGAAGGAGCAAGCGAAACAGAACATCAACCCTGCGTTCGCTCGGCATCCCAAGAAGAAGGACGAAGTAGTCAATGCAATCGAGAAGGTCGAATGGGATCATCAGCGAATGGCGGTCGAGGACGTCACCACACAAAATCTCTATAACGATGCCATGGAATCCTTATTTTGCGAGAGAATGCCGTCGGTGCAAGGCTTCGTTGACGTATGCCCTCCAAGCCCCAGCGTTCTAGAAGCGCTGAGGATCATGAATGGCCTTGTGCTGCCGCCTGACATCTCTGCGCTACTACAAGAGTACGGTCTTGATCCCGACGCTTGTTGCAACCCGGATCTTGACGACGAGCGAAAGGTGTTGTTGGAGGACTTCGAAATCAAGTATGTCGGCGATGACCGTTTCGGGCCTCTTGATCTCAGAATCAGTAAGCGCCGGCGCGATGGTGGGGATGTAAAGGAACCCGCTCCGAAGAAGCGCAAGCGAGTCCCCCGTTTAATGCAGAAGTCGTTTAGTTTCGCACCTCAGATACCATCGCCTCCAAGCAAGATCGATTGGCTATCCACTTCGCCTGTGTGGCAGAACAATGATGAAGGTTCCGCACCCCTAAAGCTACGAGAGACCGACTCTCAGACTCAGGATTCATCCGCAACCCCTCAACCCGAACATCAAGATGGCGGACTCGCTGTCGAATGTTTGAATTCTCTTAACGATCGCACTAGGAAACATCCCCCGGATACCGCCTTGATCACGAACAAATTATCCCTCTCAGCTATCCCAGCGGATGTCAACCACGCCCTCGATGCGATCAGCGCCAAGATGATGGATATGAGAGCCGCCATCGCCGCCCAGCAACAGGGCCAGAACGACAGTATCCGAAATGCTCTTCGGCCTCTCCACCAAGCCCTGGACACGATTCACAAGTCAACCAAAGCTACGATGGAGGCTGCTGAGATGATCAAAGCGACACTCGAGAAGTTGGACCGTGACTTGACCTTGGAAGATGGACTGGTGGAGGGGCGGCTGGCGGTTCAGGGATAAGAGCCCCTGGAAAGCTAAAGCTAGAGAAATGCTCTGTGTACAGAACATGAGGATGGGACTTTGCTTTTCACATTTTAGCAGTATACTCTGGCTATTGATTATGACCAATGCTTATAGGACTATCTGAAGATGCCATAGGAACGATGTGGATGCCAGACATCGTTGATGGCAAGGTGGATTTGGTTGATATGGTCGCACAGGGGCTGGGTGTACCAGCACGTTAGGAATAAGATGAATCAAGTTTGCTCTTAGCCTCAAGGGCTATGCTAGTATATGGGTGAGAAGATTGGCCGCCACGATCCCACATTTGAGGCAGGCGAAACGAGCATAAACAATAACGAAGAGGGGCGAGAACAATTTCTCTGGCACAATCAAGAGTGTAAATCACGAAGTCGTCCCAGAGCTAGTTTCCCGACGAAAGAAGGCACTCTTTGAGGTAGGCATGTAGCCAATCAATATTTACGAAAATCGTTCGAACTAAGGAGATGCGGGCGTAACACATGTTTATAGGTAGGTGATGTAATAAGAAGGGTGATAAAGCAGATCCCTTTCCTATAAGAACTAGAAACTGTTCATACTAAAGCCAGTATTAGGATGAAGGCTTAGCTCAAACATGTATAGCAATGAGTTTACTCCCTACCAGATACGAGATACAACTTTTGTTCGAGTAGCTCTGAAAGATGGCGGTGCGTTCCACGTGTTTCTAGAGAATAGCCTTAAAAACTGGCTGGAAGCTTTGATTCTTCTTGGAGAAGGCCCAAAGGCGATTAGATTTCCCGAGAGACTTTTTCGTTTGGTCAAGGTAAGAACAGCTTGGGCTACTCGCAGTACATCCGAACATAAAGCTGACAAGACAATCAGGGCTTCGAAGGAAACCTGCGCAAACAACTGGGAGATGCAAAATGCTTCATAGAATGTGACAAATCAAGTCTCATAGAATATGTTTCGAAATATTCCTTCGATATCACCTCCGTCAGCGTTCTTGCTGCGAATAGCAAGGTTGTTGTAACATGCTCAAATCACGCCACGGAGCTGAGAATTTGGTCCATATCAAGTGTCCAGTGCTTATGGAGTCTTAAGGATCAGCAGCGTGGTGAAATGAACCTCTCACCGAATGGCAAGTACTTGTTCAATTCAGGCGATGGGGACGGCCACCTATTATGGAACATCGAAACCGGGCGTTCGCATGTAATAGGCTGACACCAATCTCGTCTGTCCCCATTCGAAAACTCACCAGAGGCTACGTTTTCCACCGACTCAAGATTCATAGTTGTCTCATCGCCCGGGGCGTCACGCTCCGAGATCTTTGCACTGGAGAAACAGCGTGGCATGATATCTCCGGCAGTAGCCCTATGACGATATCCGATGATGGGACGGCCACTGTCTATTGCAAGCCGCTTGTCGAGCCAGGGTTGGAAACATTGGTGATTCGATACGCCATCGCTGAGAGCAGATACGACATCTTTCATCGACCTTATGGCAATGTTTATGCCCTACACAGCTGCTCAAATCGATTACACTCCGTCATCGAAATCCAAGAACCGAGTGCCAGCACGCGTCATATCTTTCGAACGAAGATAGTGAACAACATTACCGGAGATGGTCTCTCCCTAATCAGAACACGCGGGCCGTCTTCTACAGCATTCTCACGAAATTCAACGCTGCTAGCACAGGGCTGCTGGCCAGAGGTTGGCACGGATGAGTTGGTCAACGTTTGGTTAGTAGCGCCATGCCAGATGGTCTATAAGTTGAGCCATCCAAGCTTGGTGTTTTCAGCTTCGTTTGCATTCTCTCCAACAACGCTGTTCCGCTTCTCCACAAAGGGCATCAAGTCCATGGACAAGGCGTCTCGCCTGTTCATGCACAACGGCAACCCTCCAATTTGTGACATGACTAAGGCGCATTAGTGGAATCGAGTTTCTGTGAAGGCGGGATATGGAGTGAAGTTTACACTTTTCCCGCAAGAGAACTGCACGTTTTGGTCTAGCTAGCGCTAGAAAAGTACGCGAGAGAGAATGTGCGTTTCGTCTTGTGAATACCTGGTACCTGCTTCCTAGACTTCAGGCGGCTTCGTCCGAACGTCAGTTTTTCGACGAAATAAAGCACTCACTAGGCAGATATTGAATCAAGGAATATATGAGAAACAGTACACAGCGGGGCACAAGAGGGCAATCCGTCCCTTGTATCGACCTGTCACTCATCAGATTCTCGTCCCATCACCAGTCTTCCGATCAAAGCAAACTTGAAGGAGTACATTACGCCTCTGTGTCTATTGTATCTATCTCCTGGTACAGAAGGCTCCCCACCATTTCCATTCCTCTATGTATGGGGTGGCGCCTTACTTGAAGCTGTTCAGACGAAGGGTTGCTCCTCTCTCTCCTCTCTCTCATCCTCGCAATAACTCGCTCTCTTCTTCTGCTCTCTTCTGTATGAATTCATCCCCTTTGCTTCCGCAAGCCTCAAATTTGTTCTCAAAATCTCAAAGATCTCCTTATACAAGATCGTTCTCATACAACAATGTCTATAGACATTCCTATTATGACTCCCAAAGGGTGGAAACTCTGGGCAAAGCAGCAAACTCATCCAAAATTCCTATCAAATGAGCCAGATGTGTCGAATATTTACAACTTTGATGCAGAGCTGGGCGTTTACTTGACCTTTGCCGGCAACGCGGTCATTCGACAACTTGAGAAGGTCGTATGGGACGAGAAAACGCAAGCGCCTGCAGACAACACAAAGCAGCGACTTTACCTCTCAATGTTTGTCGGTCCATTGCGAGTTCAGCCAGACCACGCTCCTTCCGCCTCTGATTTGGAGGCTCTGAGGATTATCAACGGCCTGAGACTCCCTTACGGCATCATCTACTTGCTCACCCAGTCAGGGTGGGATACTTCCAAGTGTTGCGATCCATTACTCACGTCACAAGAGAGGAAGCTGCAACCGCAATTGATGGGTTGTAACTCCCGTCTCCATTCAACCCACACTTTCCATTTCCACCCACCCTCTAACCTCGAACCACTTCACTTGAACAAAACTCCGACGTCGGTCTCACTCGTCACGAGCACACCACTGCAGACAAACATGACCCCCAACCGGATACCGTGACGACTATGACGCCGACGACAATGGTACCGCTTCCGGCAACAACAGCCTCGTCTCTGACATTTGCCACGAATACGGCCTCGCTGGCTTCGCAGCCGGAGCTTCTTGAGCAAATACAAACGAAGCCAACCAATTCCCTTTCGGAACTCGTGATCTTGGATTCCCCCAAGGCAAACGCAGCTTCACAGAAGCCTGGTTCCCACGGAACTTTGACGAGGAAACCGTTGCCAACTTCAAAGTCCGTTGCGAAGACAATACAAAAAAGGAGCCGGAAAACCAGCGCTAAGACACCCAGTGGATGGAAAAGATGGGCAAAGAAACAGAAAAACGATGTTTACAGCGAGCCCGAGTTCCAGGAATCCAGCGAGGCTGTCGACGCATACCTCAACTTCGCCTTATCGTGGGACGAGGAGCGCAAGAAGCCCGCTGACATTTCGCAGCAGTTACCCTACACTCAGTTTGTGGCCCAATGGGCAAACGTCAAGAAGCGAGGTCGGCCCCCGCCTGCATCCATGATAGAAGCGATCCGGATCATGAATAGCCTAATTATACCGTATAACATCGTCTATATGCTGGCGAAGGCCGGTTGGGATGCAGACAAATGTTGCAACCCGAAGCTGTCTCAGGAGCAGAGAAAGCTCGGTACCGGACCGACAGAATTGAAGCGTGGTATTGAAGATGAGGGCGAGCCTTTGAGTCAAGACAAGAAGCAGAAGGAGACCGTGGCTGTCGGCCAGCAAGAATCTTCTAATGCCGAGACCGTGTCATCAGAAATTCCGGCAACTAGGGATCAATCGTTTCGAGAGTCGCCACCGATACCTGATAACAATATCGTCAAGGTCGAGGAAGCGTCTCCGATGTCTGCTGTACTTCGTCAAGCGGATGGCCTTCATGCCACCTGTATTCCTTGCGATGAGGCCGAAGACGTTGGTTCAGACGACTACTCCGACCGGGTGAGTTTTGAGGTCGACGCGGAGCTTGTTACGAACACCATTGAAGCTGCCATTAGCAACATTCAACCTGCCGGCATCACGAAGTCGCCCGAGATCACCAAGCCTACCAGCTCTATGAACCTCTCATTCGGAAGTGCAAATAGGATCGACGCCTCGGGCTCGACCTCTTCCAAGCGAAAGAAGCGTACTTCCCGAGGAAAACTGAAGCGAGCCATCGATGCTGTCAGCAACAACCTGACAGCCATCTCATCAAGCCACTCCATTAAGCTTCAGGACCAAGCAGACCGACTCCAAGGGTACTCTGAGAAGTCCGAAGACCACTCGAATCAACTTCAAGAGCATTCCAACCAGCTCCAAGAGTATGCAGGCCAACGTCAGGGCCACTCCAACCAGCTACAGAAGCAAGAACTCGCTCTGACACAGCTCCGTCACGACAAGCAAGCCCTCCGAGACTGCCTCCAGGGCGTCCTCGTCCCTCTCAGCCAAGCAGTCAATGCGCTCCACAAGTCGAGCAAGGACGACAAGCGGGCACTCAAGTCGGCCAAGAAGCGCGCCCAGAGGGGACTGAAGGAGTTCAACTCGGTGGACAAGACCACCAAGGTCTTGAAGCAAAGCCTCAAGCATCTGCATTGTGTTCTTGGGGCGGCAGAGGACCGTCCTGGAGGAAACAATGAAGCTCATGGACAGGAGAAGTGACACGACAAGGCAGTGCGCATGAATTTGGGCAGGAGGTGACACCGATTAAACAGCACCCCAAGACCCAACGGCTCAGCTATGGCTGCCCCTCAACCCCTTCGTTTTTGCTACACTATCTCCATTACCATCCGGTTGATTCTGCTCTGCACATGCAACTTTTCTCCCCCGTGGGAGCGCTTCGTCGACATCAAGAATCTCAGTTGCATTCCCTTGCTTGGTTCCCCCTTTTCAGAATACACAAACCCATAGCGGCTCGCAGTAGCTGCTGTTCGCCAGTCGTGTTCCTCTGGCGTATTTTCAGTTGCCACGGGGCGAATCTTCAGGATTTCACAAGATAGACCCTTCGCCCAAGAGAGGACTGCTTAGATCTGAGGTGCGATGTTGCGGTATCTGGAGGCGAGGAGGAGCATTCGGGCCACCTACAAGCTAGGCTAGCAACGGACACTGGCCGTGGTGCATTTCTTGCAGAATCCATACAATAACAGCGATTTCATGACTTCTGGTCCCGTTGCGTGATGCCCAGCCCCTTGCATGCGAGTTCCCACGTTCGAATTGCGTGACAAAGATACCACGGAAACTAGTATGTCGTTCCCAAAAGGCACCAAGACGAAAGGTACACTTGGGAGCCATCACGACCCTCCCCCGAGTTGCCAAAGCACGCGTAGCTACTCCATCCCAGGCCTCACGTTCAGGTCACCGACACGTCACAGACTCGAGCAATGAAACCAAAATAAAAAGACGAACCGTGGCCTTGGAACCTCGCATTCGGGAATAGAAGATTGCCCGTAACGGGGGCAGAATACCAAAGACTCCCATGACAATGCAACTGACCGATCACATCGCGGTCGACTCGACTCGAACACCCCCACCCCACCCGACGAGGCACCGAGGCCGCATGGCAATTTCGCGCGCGCTCTCCCTCGTCCCTCCCTCCGGAACCAATTCCTTTCCTCGCCTCGGATGCATCTGTTCGGTATCTCCATCCCGTCGTGTCCCGCCTCCACTCATCCAACGGCCTCGGACGATAAGGAAGCGCAAGACATGCAAAAAAAAAAGGCCCTCTCGCCAAGGACAAGCCCGCGCGGCCTGGTCCCTCGGCGTCCACGACGTTAACAACAACAACAGCGGCGACGGCTCGAATCGCAAAAAAACGGCCCGGCCTTGGTATCCCACAACAATGCAGTAACAAAAAACACAACTCGTGACTTTGACATCATCATTTCGTTTCGTCTTTTCAACCTGTTTTCGTGACTTAGAAGCAGAACCCTTTTCTTTCCTTTCCTCGCCCCCGGTTATTCATAAAGGGGGGGCTCGTGAACCCTCGTTTCCCGTCATGCCTTTCCTTCCTTCCGAATTCAGTTTTCCTCGTCGTCTTCCTCAATCGGCGCCGGCGTCCTTCTCTCGGTCCGCCTCTTGGGCCGTCGGTGCCGCGAGCTGCTGATGTTGCTCGCCGAGTCGTCAGGGGCGAGCTCGAAGTCGTCGCCGCCCCACTCGCTATCGCTGTTGGCGTCGTAGTCGCCCTGGGCCCAGCTGGGGCGCTCGTAGCCCGATGACTGCGAGTTGCCGGAGCCCGGGTTGGGGAGCACGTCGATGCGCCGGCGGCTCTGCAGGCTGTGCATCAGGCCGGCGCCGCGGTTACGCAGGCCCGTCCGGACGACCTCGGCCTTGAGGTGGAGCGCCTCGAACGCGTCCTCCAACGCCTCCATGCCCTGGTAGATCTCTCGCTCCACCTCTGCGAGGACGGCCATCTCCATCTCCTCGTCTCGGGACACGGCTTGGCGGTTCGCCGCGGCGGACGACGCGTTGCTGACGAAAGAGGCGGGGGTGGCGCCACGGGAGTAGGCCGAGAATGGCGTCGTGTTGCGAGATCCCGGGAACCCAGGCGTTCCTCGGACGCCCGGGCTCATGGTGTTAGGCCGAGAGGGGAAGTAGTTGCTCGCGGGCGTGGCGCCGCGCGACTCGGCTGTCGGGGTCGCAATGTCGTCGCCGTCGGCTCCGGACCAGAGGAAGCCGTCGAACCGGCCAGAGGTCAAGATCTCCCATTCTTGCGTGTTAATGTCGGACATTGTGATGAGCAGATCGTGCGTGTGGGGGTTCTTGACGAGGTACATGGCGACCTCGGCGTCTCGCGGCACCTGTACTAGTCGGTAGAGGCGCTGCAGAGCCAAGCCGGTCTTGACAAGGAGGTCCGGACGCGCCCGGTGCAACGGCGTGGGCGCTCTCGTTGCGGGCTTGGGGTGGTTGGAGCCAGAAAGGATGGCGTTAAAATATGGCTGGTCTTCAGGGTCCAGGTTCGTAAGGATGGCAAACGTCAGAGTCTCGTCGTCCACGTCCTGGGGCGGGGGCGCCGTCGTTTCACCGCAGGTGTTGAGCCACTTGTCCACGGCGCCTCTGACCTTCTTGGACTGTCTGAGATAATGCTCGCGGAACTCCTCGGCGATATCGGGGTCGATCTTGACCGGCGAGTCTGGCCGGGGTGGCAGGTCTGCAGACACTTCGGCAGCCTTGGATCCCAAGCTTGCCAGGTCGAACGGCGGCCACTGGGGAAGGTCGATGCGGCCGCTAACCCATTCGAGGACTTCGCCCCAGCCCAAGCCGCGATGTTGAATATCGGGGCCTCTTTCACAAACCACACACGTGCATCCGTGCTCGGGGAGCTCTCTCGAGAATACGTTTTCGAGGCGGTCCAGCAGACGACGAGCCACTGATCGATGGCCTGTTGCGACTGCCACGGAGCCGTTGCGGTTGAGGACCGAGTTGTACTGGTCCAACAGGTTAAAGAATGGTGCAAACAAAGTCTGCGCACCCACTAGGGGCGGGTTAGATGGTCGAGCGCCGTTTTGTCGGGGCAAAACAGAGAGGAACGTCTTTGGGATAGGTTGAATGAGCCCGCCGTTCTGTAAAAGGTAGTCGACCCGGGGTGCTTCCTGAACGTCCACGGGCGGGGGTGGTGGTGGAGGGGGGGAGGGCCGGAGGGCGGAGCCATGTCTGTCATGGGCGTCGCGGACGGAGTGATGTCGTTCTCGGGGTACACCTGAGGAGGGGGACCCGGGGGCTTGTCGTGCATCGCGAAAGGCGGTGGGAATGGCGGCGCTTGCGTCGGGGTCCTGGGCGACGAGTCTTGGAGACTTTCAGGAGACGAGTCGCCGTCGTGGTTATCGGACCGCCGGCTCTTCTTGCTCGACGAGCTCCGCTTCGAGGACGATCTAGAGGCGCTCGGCTTGATGTTCAGGCTCTCCTGCACGCCGGGAGGGAACGCCGGCGACTTGACGTAGGTGGCCTGGCTGCTCGTCTTGGACTTGAAGCTTAGTCGGGACTTGTCATCGGCTCTGGAGCCCGACCGTGAGAGGCCGCTGAGTCGCGAGCTCGGTCTATCCTCGCGGTCTCTCTTCGACGCCTCACCGCTGAGTCTCGAGCTCGAACGCTCCTCGCGGACCTTCCTGGATGACTCCTCGGGTGTGCCCGATCGTCTCTTGCCCGACAAGTCCGTCTCTGGTGGACTAGGGGGTCTGGAATCCTTCTTGGACGAAACCTTGCGCTGCTTATCGGAGTAATCGGCGCTCTTGGATCGCTTGAGGTCGCTGTCGCCCAGGTCCGTCGCCTCGGGCGTGAAGGGGTCGTCCCTTCTCGTTGCGCCCACGCCCGACCCCGAGACATCCTCGCGGCTGCCGCGGACGGCCTCCTTGCTGTGCGCCTTGCTAAAGGTCGGGTAGGGCACCGAGATGCGGTCGGTCGAGGCCGGGCCGGTGAGCGAGGTGCGAGACAGTTCAGGGACGAGGTCGGTCATGGAGGAGGAGCGGTCGTGGCCGCGGTCCTTGTCTCGGTCGCGGTCTCGTTCTTCGCGGGTGCGGTGGCGGCGGTGGGAGTGAGAGTGGACGTCGCTGCTGAGGGTGCTGCCGTCGGCCATCTTTGACTTGGAGGAGCGCGAGCTCACGCGGTGGGATCGGTGCTCCCTGTCGCCCTTTTCCCTGTCGGTTCTGCTGCTGCGCTCCGACTTGCTCCTCGAGGCCTTCTTCTCTGTCTTGTCGGTCTTGTCGCGCGGGGGCCGATCAACGTCGACGTCGACGTCACGGTCTTTGGAGGACATGGCGGAGCATGGATGCGTAGCCCGAAAGCTAGGCCAAGTTGCTGTTGCTGCTGCAGGTGCTGCGGAGATGTGCAAGCTGTCGGAGGGACTGACTGGTTGGGCGTCGCTCCCGCCGTAAGAATCAAATAAATCAAGCAAAGAGCCCAACTGAGCTTTGCGAGAGGGTGGGTGGGAAAGTTTTTGGCGAGCCGATGGCGAAGCGGACCGTCGTGTTGGAGGACCAAAGGTTGGATGGTTTTCGAAGAAGCGGGCGGGAAGGGAAGCAGGCGGGACCTGGTCTGGGGTTCGTTCACCGACCCAAAATCGTCGAAGCGAACTTTCGGGACTTGTCACAAAACTGGGGAATTCTGGGTTAGGATTTTGAGGAAAAATGCCCACCCCTGACTTGGAACGAACGGTGACTGGGGAGGTTCCGTTTGGTCAAGCCTTTGTTGCGTCAGTGCTGAACCCGAGTCGTAAAGGAATCGCCTCTTTTGCGTCGGTTCGATAAAATGGTGTAGAATGCAGAAACGACAACGACGACGAAGGGGACGAAGGTAACACGCCAACGAGTGACTTGAGCGAATGTCAAACGTCAGTCACGAGCAAAGGCCAGGTCGGGAGGGAGAGCGAAGAGTCGAATGATGGGCGGGCGGTTGCGAGTTTAGTTCGTCGAGCAACGCAGCCGAGTGTGATTCGACCACAGATTGAGCCCCCCCTGTAGTCTGCCTGGCTGGCTGTTGGAGGAGGGAATGCTCGCTCGAGGGGGGGTGGGAGGCGGGTTGGTAGGCTGGCACGCTGGGCAGGGCCGCGGAAAGAGTGGAACACTCTAAAGGGCCAAGGGGGTGGGTGGGGTGCGTGAGGGAAGCGCAAGGGAAAGGCGCTGGGCGGTGACACATTCGAGGACCTGTCCTGTCCTGTTTCTCCTCTCTCTACGGCGGCGCAAATGACTGACGGAGAGGATGCGTTTGGCGTGCATTTGCGGATGCGCGACTTCTGTGGGGGCTAGGCAATTCGATAGGTAGGTAGGTAGGTAGGCACCTAGGTACTCTACAGAGTAGTGTACACCGGGCTGGGCCCCCAAGCCTGACGTGGCACCGGGCTGAGGTCCCTTGGGATCCACAGCGGACACTGCCAGCCAAGTGCAAAAAAGCTCGGACCAACGCAGATGGGCACTCTGTCCCTGCACACGGTGCCGTCCACATGCAAAACGCACGCAGAAAGGGACCGTGTCTCAGCCATCGGGCAGCTCGACGTCGCACGGTATGACATGAGCCACTCAGGGCCAGTACCACGGTATCTGTACCTTGGTGTGCGTACGGACGGTGCATCACCTGCCTACGCAGGCAGTACTATACACATCGCCCTTGGGTACTCCTGCAGCTGCGACTGAGAGCTGCTCGAGATCTAACGAGATGTGAGATGCTCTAGCCCGAGGTACCGGGGCAGCTCCCGGAGGAAGCATGGGAAGTAGTGTAGCGTCACCGCTGGACGGACAGCTGGACGGACACAGCTCGCTCGACCTGGGCCGAGGAGAGATGCAGTGTCTCGGGCCAAGCAATGGCCGGCAAACCTCGACGGGGAATCCGGTGCCTCGAGACATCCGGGGGCTCGACAAACCACCCGTCATACTTACAACAGCAAACGAAAAGGAAACCCCATATTGCTTTCCCTCCTCACACGGGATCGCCATCCCGTCATGCCAGAGACACGCCGCCTCGTGTAGAGATGCTCAGGTCTCACGTCCCTGGCGCAGAACACAGAAAGTCGACAATCCCCCCCCCCCCGTCTGCTCTGCGTCCCTCCTCCGGGAATTCACTCCTCTCTCGACTGCTTCCCAAAATAAACCCCAATCCTCGCCCAACCAACCAACCGACCTATCAGCCTCCCTTAGCCGTGTTTCCCCTCATCCTCATCCTCTCCGTGCCGTGTGTTGATACCCGCCAGACCACCAACGGCCCTCCCCATCCCATCGGGCACCAAGAAAACGCAGTGCGTCTGGACGTACATGGTAAAGTAGATGGGTAACGTAGAGGGGGGTAGCGTCACCCAATCACTCGCGCTGGGCTACCTGCCTAAGCGCCCGCGCTGCATTGTTCTCGTGCTTCTCGCACCACCACCACCACCAGAGAACAAACCTTGAACGACCACACCATCTCGCTTCAACTCATCGAAACCTCTACGCCAAAGGGGTCCTCCAAGCCCGCCGCATTCACGCGCAACCGTCCGAGGCTCGGGCCTTGGTTTCCGGCCCCGCGGCGTCTCCATCTGCACGCCCGGTTGGCTTGTTGGTCTGATGCTTCAAAAGTCTGAGTCTGATTTTCCCCGTTCGGAGCCACGCAAAACGTCATGGCATTTTGGACGATTGCATTTCGAAAACCCCATCGGTCCAGCTCCTCTTGCAAAAAAATTAAAAAAAAATTGTCATTCCATTTCGACATGCAGCCGCGCGGGGGGCGAACCGTGCTATACGAAACACACAGCTTCCCCTGTCCCGGGCCAGTATATGATGCTGTGTTTCCATCCGTGTAAAACTAATATAAATAAAAAAAGGGTCCTCATGTAAATCATCAACAGCTTTTTATCCCAGGTTTGTCTTTGATCAACTCCGCTGTGTAAATCCGTCCTTTGATATCTTGTCTCTCTCTCTCGCTCTACCGCTGTAATGGCGCACAAAACTTCGTCAAGCCGCTCTCTCGCAAACATTTACAAACGGTCCAGGAGACCCTGGCTCTCGAGGAGCAGCACGATCTGGTGGACGATGGAGCGGACCGTCTGCTTCTCGACGTTGACGACGAGGTCGGCCTTGGCGGGCGCCTCATAGGGGTCGTCGACGCCGGTGAAGCCCTTGATCTCGCCGGCGCGCGCCTTCTTGTAGATGCCGCGCTTGTCCGTCTTCTCGGCGTACTCGAGCGGGGTCGCGACGTGGACGAGGAAGAAGGGGCCCGACTTCTCGACGAGCTCGCGCGCCTGCTTGCGGGCGTCGTCGTAGGGGGCGATGGGGGCCGCGATGACGGCGGCGCCGGCGCGGGTCAGCTCCGAGGCGACAAAGGCGATGCGCGCGACGTTCTTGTCGCGGTCCTCGCGGCTGAAGCCGAGCTCCGAGGACAGCTCGTGGCGGACCGTCTCGCCGAGGAGCAGCGAGACGGAGCGGCCGCCGCCCTGGTTGAGGGTGACCTGGAGGGCCTTGGCGATCTGGTCCTTTCCGCTGTTCTGGTAGCCCGTGAGGAAGATGGTGAAGCCCTTCTGGGCAGGCAGGGGGTTCTGCTCGCGCAGGACCTTGACGACCTCGGGGTACGAGAACCACGCGGGGATGTCCTTGCCCGTCTTGAGGCGGTTGCGCAGCTCGGTGCCCGAGATGTTGGCGGTGTGGGTGCCGGGGGCGATCTCGTTGGCGGGCTGGTACTCGTCGCGGTCGGGGATGTAGATCATCTCCTGGAACTCGACCATGGTGATGCCGAGCTCGTCAGAGTACTTCTGCACGGCGACCTGGGCGTCGTACGGGCCGTAGTGGTCCTTGCCGTTCTTGTTCTTGCCGGGGCCGGCGTGGTCACGGCCGACGATGAAGTGGGTCGCGCCGTGGTTCTTGCGGATGATGGCGTGCCAGATGGCCTCACGGGGACCACCCATGCGCATGGCCAGGGGCAGCAGGGCCAGGGCGGCCATGCCGTTGGGGTATCTGGGGAGGAGGGCCTTGTAGACGCGGACACGGGTGAAGTGGTCGATGTCACCGGGCTTGGTCAGGCCGACGACGGGGTGGATGAGGACGTTGGCTTGTTGAGATCGGGCGGCGCGGACCGTGAGCTCTCTGTGAGCGCGGTGCATGGGGTTGCGGGTCTGGAAGGCGACGACCTTGTTCCAGCCGAGCTTCTCGAAGTGCAGTCTCAGCTCCGCGGGAGTGTCTTTGGTTTGTTAGCTTTTGAGCCTCGAGCTCTGCCACGGGTAGGGTGTGCTTACATCGGAGGTCCAGGAAGTCGTAGTGGGCGAGGCGCTGGATGGCCTCGAGCTTACCACCAACGTAGAAGTCGTTGGTGTTGTTGAAGAGGTGCTTGACACCGGGGTGAGTGTCATCGTCGCTGCCAAAGACCTCGATGGCCTCGACGGTTCTGGAAAAAAGCATGTTAGGCCGAGTCAATGCGCGCCAATCGGAGACGAGACCTACCTGTCGGGCTTGTAGACATCCTCGACGGTGAGGATGGCCAGGTTGCGGTCGTCTCTCAGATCGCGCAGGGTGATGCGAGCACCGGGCTTGATGGAGAGGTCGTCGATGCTCTTCTGGGAAACATCGAGGGTAATGGGCATGGAGAACAGGTTGCCGTCGGCGAGACGGTTGTTCTTGACAACGCTGCGCCACACACGTTAGCGACTCATGTCTTCCCCTCTCTAGCATTTTCTCTTTTGATTCTTGACATACCCATTGTAGTCCTTTTCGGTCATGAAACCTGTGAAGATGTGCCTTGGTCAGTCCCGCTGTGCTTGGGCCTGTAACGTAATCGTGGGGAATTGCCCCTCCAAAAAAAAACCATGGCGGGGTTGCTTCCGCGCCGCAACCCCACCATCGTTGCGCATTACTGCAAATGGGGCCCAGGAGACAGGTAAACACGCACCTTCGAGAGGAGAGAAGCCACCGTTGAGGATCAGCTCGAGATCGCACAGGTGGCGCTCAGTCAGGACGAGAGAAGGGAGCTTGTCGGCCTCAGCGAGGAGCTCAGACTGGCGCGGCGCATCGCGCGCGAAGAGGTCCTTGAGGACACCGCCGTGGGGAGAGTTGGCCATTGTGAAGGTTTGGGTGGAAGCGCTCGGCAGAGAGAAGCTCAGAGTGAGGTGAACGGAAACGAACACGCGGGTGGTCTTTGGGGAACTCCTACAGAGGTCCGAGGAGAGAAAACACAACCAATTGAGCCCGTGGCTTCTGGTCGCAAGGAGGGGGGGTTTATGGAGATTGGAGGGGGAATCGCAAGTGAGTAGAGACAGGAGAACCAGCAAGAGAGGAGAGTCGGCGGGAGGGACGGGAGAGGACA